AGTGAGAGTGGTCTAGATGTTTTGATCTCATGTCATTCTTCTTAGCATCTGAAGGATATGGGGCTGGGTGTGGCTCTGTGGTAGAGCTTTTGCCTGCCATGCATGGGACCCCAGATTTGATTCCCAGGACCACAAAACTAAACTAAAGTAAAAGAAGCCAGCAAGGTGGCCCACACCTATAATCCCAGCTATTTGGGAGGCTGAGGAAGGAGGACCACAGATGGAGGCTGACCCAGGCAGTTTTGTGAGACCATGTCTCAAGATTAAACGGGTGGGGGCCTGGGAGTGTGACTCAGCAGGGGAGCATTTGCCTCGCATGCCTGAGGCTGTGGGCTCCATCCAGTCCTGCAAAAGATAAAAATTAAAAATAGGTAAAATTCAGTATATGAGATGGGAGGGCTTCCTCTCTCAGTAAAGCCCCCAACACTTCTGAATTATCCAAGGTCACTGTGACCTCTACATGTCGAAGCCGGTGGACTTTGCATCCCCACTCATCTTCGCTTACTGACCCGTCTTTTCTCTGGGAGTTGCTCTTCTGCTGGTCTGGGCTCTGTCTCCTGGTCTCACCCCTCCTTCTTGCTCAGCCTTAAGGCTGCAGCTTTTCAGGTCTTTGACCCAGGTTCCCTTTCTCTACCCACTCTTTCTTTAGGTGGTTGGTGTCCTCTTCCACTTTGCAGGTGTCAGATGTACATCCCCAGCACGGCTTTCTTCTCTGGACCCAGGCTTTCATGTGCAGCTGCCTCTGACAGCCACCTGGACATCCCCAGGCTTTGTACTCGGCCCTGTCTCTCCACCTAGCATGGCCTCCTCTGTCGGGTACAAGCGGAGTCCAGTGGGAGCTCTGCCCTTCCGTCCCCAGCAGTCTCATGGAGTCTACTTCCAGGGGGCTGAGCCCTCTGCTCCTCCCGTTACCACTGACCACTTGCATCAGCTGCTGTCCCTCCTCTAACAGCGCTGATGCTGTGTCCTTCCCTGAACAGCCTGCGCTCCCTGAGGGCAGAGGACTGGACTCTCATCTCCAGAGGCAGATCCTGCTTGGCCCAAACCAGGGACAGGCACGTGTCTGTAAAGGGCCAGATGCTGGATATTTTAGGTTTTGTGGACCAAGAAGCCGGCCTCATAGTGCTTCTACCCTCAGCCCCATGCTTTATAAACGTAAAACCCATTCCTCAGTGTGGGTGGCCCACAAGGGCCACAGACCTGTCTGCCACTCTGGCTTGGCCACTCAGCACTCCACTCCTGGTGGCTGCAAGATCCGAGGGTCCTTCAGAACAGCAGCCTCTCCTCTCCGAACTTGTGAGGTGGAAATGCTCTTCCCTCTGCCTTGGGTAGCTTCACTGCTACCCATACGACCATTTCACCCCCAGCTACTGTGCCACACAGCCCACTGGCAACGCCTAGCCCCAGAGCTCCCTGCCGTGCCGCCACACGGCAACCTGGTACTGTGCCCCGATGCCAGACAGCGGCAGGCCAGGCACCCTGATCATGTGACCCACTGTGCCAGACAGCCTGGGGGCCGGAGGCTGACTTCGTGCCTCTGCTTGTCTGCCCTGTTGTCCCTGCCGTGGGCTGGCTCCCAGGTAGGGCACACAGCACACAGGCCTGACTGCTGGCCAGCTGAGCCCCTGGGCGGCCAGGCAGCCGGGCGCAGCAGGGCCATCATGGGGCAGGTGGTGTGCAGACAGGGTGGCCCAGGGTGAGCCAGGCAGACGCACCGGCGTCTCTCCCGGGTCTTGTTCTTTGGGTGAGGCAGCGCCACCTGGTTCTGCCACTCCAGTGTCATGCTTTTACAATACAGGGCGGAAAATATTATGTCTCACGTGAACACATCACGACATGGTGCTTACCTCTCATCAGCAGCCTTTTCTTTTTCCTTTTTATCCTGTGGTCCTGGGGACTAAACCAGGTCTTCACACTGAGCTACATCCCCAGGCCTTTATTTATTTCTTTAGAGGCAGGCTCTCACCTAAGTCACAGTGCTGCCCAGGCTGGGCCCCAACTGTGGTCCTTCTGCCTCAGCCTCCCAGACGCTGGGCTTGCAGGTGGGCACCATGCTGGCTTCTGACTTTAGCCCTAAGAAATAAATCGATAATCTACAACTTAAAAGTAATTTTGTGTCTCTTCTCAAATGGACTGAGCAGAATGAAACAAAGCACAATCAACATTCTTTTAGACACAATTTTGGGTGTACAGAGGGATTATAGGGAAACAGAATCAAAAGGCCAAGGGCGAGGCTGCCGCTGGTGTTAATGAGTGGTGGCCACATGCCCTGCGCTGCACACGCTGGCTGGTCCGCCTCAGCACATGGGCCGTGACCGGCATCTCAGCATACAGGCTGGGAGCACGTGCTGCCACTCAGGAGAAAATCAGGCCACCAGGGGCCCACAGGGACCCACACCACGACAGCCGCCGTGAGCAGGTTGCTATGTGCTCCTCCCAGCACCGTGCCCCGCCTGCTTCGTGTCCAGCGGGAGTGGACACTCGGTGGCTTTGACACCTGTGAGCCTCGAGCAGTTCTGAACTCGAAGCCCAGGCTGTGCCCAAGGCTGCACCTCCGAGGGCTTCCTGTTTCTGGTTCCTACATGGCTTGGGCCGACCCTGCTCAGCGCACCTGAGGCTGCCAGAGGGAGGCACCAGGTCTGTTCGAGTCACCGCACCACCTACTCCTAGCGCGTGGCCGTGCTGTGGATGTGGCTTTGTGGTTGTGCCACCTCACTCAGCTGGGTTTCCGGTGCTCTGCAGACACTGTTCTCAGCAGTCACACGACTGCATCCCTGGGCAGGTGAGAAGGGGCTGGGCGGTGGGCAGGACTCGGTGCCGAGTGTGCTTCCAGGACAGGGTGGCACTTGTCCTGCAGTCTGCACGAGCCACGGAGGCCACACCTCAGGGGCACAGGGCCCTCTCCGGGCCCCAGGTGTTTCACTGAGTGGACGGGGCAGGGGCTGCAGAGTCCCCTCTGGAAGAGCCTGACCCGTGGGTACCTGAGTGGGCCACTGTCCCAGGGAGGCTGCCGCGAGGCCCAGTCTCCAAGGCTGGTGTGCGCCGTGTGCAACCAGGGGGTGCAGAGGCTCCAGCCTGGGCCTGGGAACAGCGCAGGATGGTCGGCACCAGTGCGAGGGTCTCAGCCAGGGTCATGTCTTCTGCCTGTACTGCTGCCGAGGGACAGGAGGCTGAGACAGACGTATTCAGCGACTCCCTCCTGGCCACAGGAGAGCCATGGGGGTCTGTGCAAGATGGCCGTGCTGCTGGCCTCTGGGGCACACTTTCCCGCCCACTCTCGTGTCCCCCACTCCCGCTGTACTTGGCCAGAGACTGGAGAGGCCACCCCGAGACCTGCACTCCTGAGGGCAGGGTGTGGCCACTGTGAGACACAGCCTTGGCCGGGCAAGTGATGGTGGGTGGCGGCTGGCTGCCGGCCCTGTCCTCCCACGGTCCCTGGGCAGCACAAGGGCAGCTGACGCCACGAAGCAGACACGAACCCATCCAGCTGGACCCTGCACAGGCTGCTGGCCCACGGGCTCACCAACAAGGATCACTGAAGTGCGTACACTTTGTGGTTTATTACAGATCCAGCGCACTGTGCTGTGCCCACAATTGCTTACCAAGGATGAAGCCCCAGAAGGCTCCTCAGAGTCCTGATGTCACTCACATGTCAACAGGTGACTCTTGGGCCACTCCCTCGTGTTCAGCCCGAAGGCAGGGTGAAGGCCTGCTCAGTAGCCGGCTGCCCCAGGGACAGCTTCTCCTCTGCGGTGACTCACACAGACATGGGCCACCCACTGGTGCAGCTCTCTGGGGCGAGGCTGTCCCCCAGCTCCGGGTGCCAGCCAGGTTAGGAATGCTACACCGGCGTTCTACCTGTATTCCAGTTTCCTTGCTTGTTTTACAACCAAGGACACAGGTGGATGGAGGGCGGGTAGATGGTCAGGTGCCCGTGGATATGGAGCAGAGGCCCACCCAAGCCCAACTGCCTGCAGCCCCTGGGCTCCCCCGGGGGTCACCACTGCCAGACTGCTGCCCGCCTCAGTGCCGTGTCCAGCTCTGCTGCTGTCCTAGCAGTGTTTTCTGCTCTTCCGCTCCCTCCTAGTTCCCCGTCTGTGAAATGGGGCTAAGACGGGGGCAGAGCAAAGGCCCAGTGCAGCAGCTGGGATGCATTTGGAGGCCTGGTGCTGGTCCACAGCTGCAGAGCTGCTCTGCAGAGCGATGCCTGAGAACTGCCCTGAGGAGCACAGCACAGCTGCTGGTGCAGGGATCTGGAGACGCTGAGCCTCTGGCTAAGGTCACCCTCAGCTGTGAACGCGACTCTAGGCAGACTGGAAGACCAGCAGTCAGCGCTCAACATAGGTTTATTATATGGTCGGCAAAACAGCTTCAGAAGCCCTCATGAAAGCCAGACCACCTACCCATTCACCACCTGAACTTTAGTAGTTCGGACGTGCTCCTAACTCCAAGGAGAATCCTAACCAGAGCCTTGGAGCTAGAGCTGCAGCCCTCCCAGTTCAGGGCTCGGGTGACATCGGACCAACTCCCAGGACACCCCTGAAGCCAGGATTCGGGAGCCTCGGTCTCCGACTGGATTCAGCCCCACCCGGGCCCGCCTTCGTCTGGGACAGCCAGCCCGGATGGGAGCAGGGCGCGCCCAGAACAGAGGCTGTCCCAGGGGTGCCGGGTGCGGGAGGAAAGGTCTCGGCCAGCGCGACCATGCGGGCCCGGGTCGCCGCGGGCGGTCGGTCAGGGCCTCGCACGGCCAGGGCGGGCCGCCGGAGTCCCACTCTCTCGGAAAGCACGGCCAGGACTGTGTCTCCACGGTCGCAGGAGCCGACGCGCGGCGCCCCACGCGAGGCCCACACTCGCTTTGCTTGGTGGCCCGAAGCCCGCTGCACCTGCCCAGCACCTAGATGGTCCGGGCCGCGAGAGGCCAGGGCGTGCGCACGTCGGCGTCCAGGCGCTGGCTCCGCCCCCAGCGTGCGCGTCCCCGCGTGGCGCGGGCGGGGCGGGGCGGGACAGCAAGAGGCGGAGCCGTGGCGGGGCTAGGGCGAGCCGAGGGCGCGGGCAGGGCCAGGGCCGGCGAGCCGCAGCGCGCAGCGGGCGGGCGGGGACGCGGACACGGACGCGGAGGGCTGAGGTGAGGCTGCGGCGGGCGGCGGGGCTGCCCGCGGAGACCCGGCCCCGGGAGCGGCGGCGCCTGGGCAGCGGCGGGGAGGAGGCTGCGCCCGGCTCGCCCGCATCCGCGTGGGAGCGCAGCGCTGCGCCGGGAGAGGAGGCTGCGCCCCGGAGGAGAGGCTGCGCTCGGGAAGGGGCCTGGGCCGGGGACAGACTGTGCCCCGGGCTGAGGCTGCGGCATGGGCAGAGACTCTGACCCGGGGAGGGCGGCGGGCCCCGGAATGGGCCACGGTGTCCCCGGCACCAGCTGCGCGGGGAGAGGACGCTGCGCTCCCGGGAGGACCCGGCCTGGGGCGCCGCACGCCCGCTTCCCTCCCGGGCGCAGGGTCTGCGCGGGACCGTGTCGCGGCGCCCGGGCGGGGGTCCCGAGTGCCGTCCAGGCTGCCGGTCGGCGGCGTGACGCTCACTCGGCTGCGGGAGGGCGACTGCGTGGTGGCCGTGCGCGAGGGACGCGTCAGATGGGCCGAGCCCGGCGGGAACCTGACGTGAGCCCCGGCGGGGTTTGGGGTCTGGTCGGCGGCGGTGTCTTCCCCGGCAGGTCTTGGAGGCCCCTCCCGTGAAGGCCCCCGCTGCGTGCATTCTGGAAGTGTGACGAGAAAGTGGTCCTGGTACTGAACTTGCTTCTGTACTCTCAGCGCCCCAACCAGACGATGGAACGGCAGCTTTGTGAGAATTGGGATGTGCGTGTAACCCTCTCCGTCCCCTCTGGCTTTGCCGTGGCTGTGTCTCCTTGGAAGGTGCCACCCGAGCTGCATCTCCACACGCCCCGCTGTCCAGGGCCAGTTCCGAGCTTGGAGCCAGCTGTCTCTGGAACCCCACTTTTCTTGGGGCTGGGACGGCTTTGCCCCTCCCGCTTGCTGCGGTTTCCCAGAAGGACAGTGAGCAGGGAGAGGAGGCAGAAGGTCGCCGGGCACAGCCCTTCCCGCCTGAGAGAACGAACTGTCCCTGGGTGCGGGGCTTCCGGAGGGCAGGCAGGATCCATGCCTGGACGCAGCCGGGCTTGATAAATATCGGATGAGACCCGCAGCCAGCGGGGCCCTGTGGTCGTGGTGCTGTCAAAGGAACGCATTGTCCCCGAGCCATGTCTGTCGGATGTCAGGATTCCTGGGAATGGCCGGGTGCATTCGGCCGCGTGCATTCGGCCGCGTCGCTGTCAAATTTGCGGCTTGGCCAGAAGGAAAAGGCGGCTTTTCTGCAGGGGCAGTGGTGGGGAGAAGGGGATATCCCTGAGAAACTGATGACACAGTGTCTCCTGCCCTGTGCGGCAGGCCCAGGTGGGAGGATCAGCTGCCGAGCAGTAGCAGGTCCACACAGCGCACCCTGGCTTCATGGCAGTTCACTCCTCGTGCACTTACATGTTGTGAAGCACTTGGACTGCACTGAGATGTCTGGAAGAGGAAAATGCTTTAAACTTGCCTGTGCCAGTGACTAGCCGGGGCTGACTTGATTCATTTGATGACTACTGGTCTTTGGCTTGTCATGTCCTAGGATGCAGTGCTGACTGTGGTAGGCAGGGTTCAAAATGCTACTGGCAGTTTGTTTTAATTGTCACTTTACAGCACTCAGTTTTTAAAACAAACATTCCAACTTTAGTTATAAAATTATAAAAGTTTTGCATATAGACTTAAAAAGATGAGCAAGTACATAGTACATTCAAAAGGGATTTGGATATGGACAACTTCATTCCCCCTGGTTCCCCACACCCAGGGTCCCGGCCCCTCCAGCTGCTGCAGGCCATCCATCCTGCAGTAGTACACACGTTTCATGGGTCCACAGTTGCAGACACACTTCACCACGGCTGTCCACATGTCCTTTAACAGTGCTACACAGCATGTTCTCGTACACGGGTGCAAGCAAGACCTTGTTGTAATTTTTTACTTTGAAATCCCTTACCTGTCAGTCTTAGTTAAGAACTGGATTTCATTCCCTGGAGCTCTGTGATTAGCTGTCAGTGCACAGGACCGAAGCGTGTTATTTAAATAGGTAGGAGGTAGGTAGAAAGCACCCGCTCTCTGGTGGTTCATCAGTGAGGTCATGCATTTGCCGACCTGCCAGAAACTAAAGGAAAGTTATCAAGCTCACTGTGAAACCAGAGTTTAGAGAGGTCCAGTTTTATCAGAAAACTTGATGGGTTTCTGTGCTGGCTTTCTACATGTGAGTGTCCGGGGCCATAGTTTGGTGTAGTGCTTCAAGAAAACCCTTTATTTGAGAAGTTCATAATATGTGAAATAGGAAAAGCAAACAGGATTTCCCATAATGCCGCACGTTGGCATTGTGACGCTTTCTCCCTTACACATGAGTGACTTGTCGGTCCTGAGTTGTGGAATTTTTAACTTTTTCTTTATTTATTGGCATTCTTCAATAGATAGAATTTATTTTAGGCTGCTTCAATACGAAGTGTTTCACCTATTCAATATTTCATCTCAGTAAGAGTTTAGTGATTTTTGCCTATTTAAAACATTATAGGATAATTATTATGTAACTTTAAATTGTGACGCTGCAGCTTCTGAGGGGTGTGAGCAGGGAGGATGCAGGAGCCAGCCCGGGTCTCCACCTCTGGGTGCAGTTTTGCCCCATAGCTGACCTCTGCTGGACCAGGGCCGTTGACATCCAGTTAGGACCACTGGTGTGTTCTTCTTTACGATTTGGTGAGTGGCTCCTGCTGCTCTTCCTCATCTTTATGCTTGTAAGGTCTTCCAGTGGATGCTATTGGCTTTGGTTTCAGGTGTGATGGAGTTAAGACAAGAGGAATGGAAATCCAGGGAGCTGGAGGAAGGTGCGCGCCCAGTGGGGTAGAAGCTGCCTGCTCCAGGCCCGTGGGGTCTGAGCCTGGTTTTGCTTCCCTTCTCCTCTGTTCCCTTAAGCCAGGCACTGTTCTAGTTGCTGAGCCATGGTTGAGCCCAATGGGCTGGGCAGTTCCTGCCTGCAGTGTTCACCCCCTGGAGCTGAGGCCTGTGAACCGGACTCTGAGGCCCTGGAGGCCAGCGAAGCCAGTGGAGGAACCCGGCTGGTGGCTCGGGCACAGTGGGTGGGAGCCTTCCTGGTGGAGGAGGCCTGGAGACCCGTGCCCAGTGCTGTCCACCAGGGAGGCCCCGCAGCCAGGGAGCTGGGCGGTGGGGCCTGCATCTCAGGGAGCACTCGGGCTGTGCGAAGGATTTAGATTTAATCCCAGGGTGGCTGCGGCCCTAGGAGGCTGCCTGCCTGCTTTGCCCCGCCCTCTTCCTTTTAGAGGGTTTGAACACAGGAAGGGTGTGATCAGTGTGTGTATCTTCAGAAAGCATCAGTCAGCTCCTAGGTTGTCAGGACCTGTGAGTGCCTGGCCGTTAGGAACACTTTCTGTGCATCATTCATTCACTTCTCAGGACAGTCCAGAAGGTGGGGGTTGCTGCCAAATTCCGGCAGGGCACCTCACATGGAGAGGTGGAGCCACTTAGCCAGGGTCACAGTGGGGGCAGGGGGTTGTGCGCTCCCCTCCTCCCTGCAGCGAGCTCTTTCCACCTCCACTCTGTGGCAGGAGGTCCTGCCAGTCAGTGAGAGGCCCCCAAAACCAGGTGATCATGCTGGTGACCACGCAGGGCCCTGGCCGGGCAGAGGTGTGAGATTGGGTTACTCACTGTGTGCCAGCACACGCACGATGCCAGCATTTGTAGGCTGCACAGGTATTTTTTTGTCTACTGACAAAAGGAAAATGTTGCCAGTGAGAGGGTCATACTGTGCTTCCGCGTCACTCTCAGCAGCATTCGTTTGTCCTCTTGAAAGGAGCTTGGACTGTGAGCTCAGACTTTACGATCACATCATTCTTGCATTTCCCTGAGACAGGTGAATTGGAATTAGATGGAGTCACTGTGACTTCCATCACCTTGGGTATCTGATTCTTCCCTGTCAGCTTTTGCCTGGAGTCGATGCTGTGCTGGTGCTGGGGTGGGGTTGGGGTGGGGACAGGTGCCTGGAGCTGGCCTCAGGGGTCTCCCACAGGCCTGAGTTTGGGCACAGGGTGCAGTCCCTGCTGACTGGGCATGTGGTCTGGGGCCGCCGTGCGGTGGCCACGTGCCTGTGTCTCCCATCCCTAGGTCGGGCAGAGGATGGCAACTTGTGTCTCGCAGCGGAGTGGAGTCGATAAACTGAGCTAAGGCAGGTGCCTAAAATAGTACCTGACTACCAGGGTTTCAGGAGTTTGCTGCACTTATTTTTATGATTAGTCATCTGAGTGGAGAGGTTTGGACATAGGTGGAGATTCAAGGTCAGGTTCGGGAAGACGCCGGGCCAGATAGAGAAATCTGGAGTCTGGTGTCTGGCTGGGGTCTGAGGCCACAGGCTGATCAGAGGACAGATGGTGAGGACTGGAAGAGCACAGGAGGACCTTGGCGAGGGGTGTGCGGTCCACGGGGCCTGCCAGAGGAGGAGGAGAGTGGGAGGGCCAGCCGGGAATCCCGGATGTGGAGGGAAGGTCTGAGAGTCTCTCCTGGGGTCTGGGCTCCTCCGGGTCAGGTGGGTCTTCGGGTCTCAGCTGGGGAGAGGCAGGCCAGCGGAGTGAGTGCTGTGGGAGGGAGCAGCCAGGGAGGCGAGGCTGGGCGTGTGGCTGGGCTTGTGCCGCCTGTTCCTGAGCAGACCGGAATGGCTGTGGGAAGGCCAGGAAGGTGAGGGAAGGGAGGGAAGGAGCCTTGGAGTGGAGGTGTTCAGCTGGGGGCCTGGGTGTGGAGACCCCAAGAGCATTCTGAAAGCGTCTTTTAAAGGGGGGCAGAAAACAGTGTGGCTCAGCGCTTGGCCCAGGAGGCTGGGAAGCATGCCTTGGGGTTAGGATGCAGCGTCTCACCAGCTGAAATGCTGGGAATGCTTCTTGTTAATTTCTCTCATTTCCAAAGGCGTCCTGAGCATGAGGAGAGGTTGGCACCCTCATCTACCCAGCCCATTTCTGCTTAGTGGCTGGAGACAGGTGTGGTACAGGCCCAGAGGGAGAGGCCA